AGGCTATTAAAACTATCTGATTGCTAGCTATTTATTTATTCATTCATTCATTTATTTTAATATACAGAAATAAAACAAAAAAGACAAAAGTATATTACAATACATATAGAAGACATATTATCTGTTAAATTCATCATTAAGCCTTAAACACACAGAGAGTAATATTGAGCTATCTTTCCATTAAGTCAGTAAAGAGCCAATTTATAAGCAGGTAATAAATACTATCCATTCAGTACCATGAATCTGTGATAGCACTATCTTTCCACTGTAGAAGAGTAAACAGGTTTTTTTTTTTAATATACCTCATACTTGATATAGCTAGAATTCTTTATATAATGATTTCAACTATTTGGTATATTACATTCACTTATTTAAATCACGTTATTGTTCCTAAAACATATTATGTATATGTGTACATACTGTATCTCTTTCATCAATGTGTAATTTCAGCATAATAAGGTTGCCAGCAAACTCTTTTGTAAATGTTGCTTGAGGTGTCTAATAAATACGAAAAAAATATTATGTTGAATTAATCTCATTTTAAGATAATAAAAACACACGTATTCTGTAATACTCTTAGCAATAGCAATAGCACTTAGACCTCATAGTGCTTTACAGCCCTCTTAGCAACATGTGTTAATATGGGGTATTCTAACTTTTATTCCAACGTTCTTATAATTTTTATCTCAACAATACTCTTATTTTTGAAAAAAGAAATACCAATATGCTTGAAAGAACACATTTCAGTGATGATAACAACTCAGGAGCTTTAGATGCTGTAATGCAGGGGTGTCAAACTCAACTTCATTGAGGGCACATGAGCATTGCAGTTGCCTTCGGGTGGCTGGGTGGATGTGGCCAGGGTGGGTGCAGCCTACTGGGTGGGTGTGGATGGAGTGGGTGTGGCCAGCTCTACATCATTCGCGTCAAGGGTGCCTGTGGGGGGCTGGGCAGGAGTGGGACAGATCTGAGGGTCTCTGGCAGAAGGGGTTGGGACCAGGGCAAGCGCTAATGCATGGCCATTTCTTCATTCTTCACAAAGGGTGACACCTCCCCAACATGCACCTAGGGGTGGGGGCGACACAGCAGAGGCTGGTTCCTCGGTGTTTCTAGACAGCCTTGTGAGCTAAGACTGAATGCGTTTAGCATAGATGGCCACCACAAAATTGTACATTGGCTCCCGGCCGGCCAGGGCCAAGGCAGCGGGGGTCGTTCCCTCACTGTTTCCAGGATGGCTTCGCAGGCCACATGAAACCACTTCACAGGCCGCATCTGGCCCCAGGGCCTTGTGTTTGACATGTCTGCTGTAATGCATCTGAACCAATCTGTGAAATCAAAATATGTTTTAGTAAAGAATTAGCCATTAATATTTTATTAAAATGCAAGTTTCAAACTGAGAGTAACCCAAAATGAATATTTATCATATGAATAAAAATCTAAATTTTATTTTGATCCTGATCTTCCAAATACGCCATGCAGCTTAATAATAAATACACAGTGGAATCCTGGCTAAAAAAGGAAACAAGTCATATTGTTGAAGGAGTTACATATTATAATGATCAATTTGTCTGTTGTTTTAATCACTTTTATTGAAAATGTATGTCAAATGATAAACACTGAAAATCAAGAAAATTATCCCACCATCACCTTCATTACATGGTAAGGTTAATTTAAAGGAAATCTAGAGGGCTTGCCTTTTTTTGCATTAGAAGCTTTGAACCTATTAATCTGTTTGAAATCCTTAAAATAAATTATTCTGGCTATTATAACAATCCTGAAATAATAATCCATTTTTACCATGTTTATCCTTCCCCTTATATTCATTACAATGTTAATGCTTTACCTCAATATTAATCTGAGATTAAAAAAAAAAAGTTTTAAATATTTCTTCTACAGATAAAGTTGAATTATCCCAAGATATATAAAAGAATTTGAATATCAAGTGAAGCACCATTTTTTACATTTCTTTTCTAGCTATACTATATTTGCCCCAAAAAGCAGTCTGATGTAATGGTTAAGGTATCAGGCTAGAAACCAGGAGACCATGAGTTTTAGTCCTGCTTTAGGTCTGAAGCCAATTTTGTAATCTTGGGCCAGTCATTCTCTTTCGTCCTAGGAAAGATGCAATGGCAAACCATTTCTGAAAACTTGCTGAGAAAACTGCAAGGACTCCAGGCAGTCACCAGGAATCAGCACTAATTGGAAGGAACCCCCACCCATAATTTTTCATTTTCATATATCATATGAACATATATATATAACATATATATTGATTGATTCATAATAATAATAAAGTTGGAAGGGACCTTGGAGGTCATCGAGTCCAACCCCTTGCTCAGGCAGGAAACCCTATACCATTTCGGACAAATGGCTGTCCAGTCTCTTCTTAAAAACTTCCAGTGTTGGAGCATTCATCGCTTCTGGAGGCAGGTTGTTTCATTGGTTAATTGTTCTAACTGTCAGGAAGTTTCTCCTTATATATGGAAGCATGTATGTAGGGTGCCAGAAACCCAATAATTCACCAAAATGTTGTACCAATTCATAGATTTTAAATGTTAATTATACTAAAAAAGAAATATAATATCAGCATACCTTTATACATTATGTAAATGGGACCCTGTCCAAGGTTTCATCTGGAGAACCTTCCTCGTGTCAGCAGAGGGCAGCAAGCACAAACCATCTAACCCTGGTATGAAAAGGAGGAAAGAAGAGTAAATGAAAGATGTTGATTTAATTATCCCAAGATATGTAAAAGAATTCAAATGTCAATTTGAAGAGTGAATGAAAGATGCTGATTTATCCAGCATCCTATGCTATCCATCAGTCACCTTTTCTGTGTTGGGAAATTTTGCATAGGGAGCCACCAATAGTCCAAATTATGCTTAATAGAACCTGTCTTCATTGACTATTACTTTTACAGAGAATCTATCTGACCTGATCTTCTACCAAATTAGACAAACAGAAGGTGATCGTGGCTTCTTTTCCTCTTTCCCATTGTATGTTCTCTCAACATAGTTGAATTCCATAGTATGTTACTATATTTGAGACTAAGGATTTGCCCATTTATCTATTTTGAGTAGCAGTAAGATCACTTCTACCCAAGGCTCCTATGCTGTTCCAAAAGAAGCTCTAGAACAGGAGTCTTCAAACTTGTCATAAAAGGGCCAAGTTTGAAGACTCCTGCTCTAGGACTTGGTATTCACACAACACAACACAACATATTGGAGAATTGGCTGATTTACTTCCAACTCAGCTGCAACTCACAGTATAGCTAGTTTCCTTATATAACAGGGGTCTTCAAACGTGGCCCTTTTATGACTTGTGGACTTCAACTCCCAGAATTCCTCAGCCGGACATGCTGGCTGAGGAATTCTGGGAGTTGAAGTCTACAAGTCATAAAAAGGCCAAGTTTGAAGACTCCTGTTATATAAGATGCCCCTTGGGAGTGAAATCTTGTGTCCCTTGCATGGGTTTTAGGTCATGCAAGGAAAATATCACAAAAATAATGAGCAGGAATAAAATTCACACGAGAAGGAGACTATCTGGAGGAGACTACTTTTCTTTAATTGACTAAATTGTTCTCTTCAGTGCAAGGGAGCTGTGTACAAAGTGACAGACTATTGGGCTTTTATTTATCTTTCCTATTCTGTATAGAGTGAAGATAAGGAGATGTTACTGTTGCAGAACCTGCACCAGTTTTGAACAGAACAGGAATTTTTACTCCTTTTTCTCAGCATTTCAAATACACAGAAGTGAAAAAAATCTCAAAATGCTTTCAAATTTGAAGCCAGTTTTCCCTAATCTGATATTCTCCAAATGGTTTTGGACTTTATGTCCTATCATTCCAAACCAGCATGGCCTTTGGCTGAAGTTCAACACATCTTGTGAGCATTGGGCCAGAGAAACTTCAACCATCCAGATCAGTGTTTCTCAACCTTGGCTGCTTTAAAATGGGTGGACTTCAACTCCCAGAATTCCCCAGCCAGCATGTTGGGAGTTGAAATCCATCCATCTTAAAGTTGCTGTGGTTGAGAAACAGTGTCATAAGGCAGTGTGAGAACAGTTAGTCTTTTACTCCGAGTACACCTATTGGGAGCTCAAACTTCTCTTTTTCTCAAATGCCTTTCCATTGTCATAAGGAGGTATATGGTCTCATGATGCACAGCAGCTTCAACCACAGAGGGATCCCTGATATGCCAAACTGAGTTATGACATCCTCCTGAGCTTTCTTCTCTCCCCCACACCCGACAAGCAGATTGGCTTTGCTCACATAACACACTTAATGATAAAAATAAAGATGTAACATGTGCTATTGGTACAATTTGCTAACCTTGATTAGTGAGGTGCATTGTTTGTTGGTAGCTAAAGGGGGACCTCAGCACGTTTGATTACTTTATGCAATGTTTTTCAACAGCAGCTACTTTAAGATATGTGGACTTCAACTCCCAGAATTCCCTAGCTATTCTGGGAATTGAAGTCCACACATCTTAATGTTGCCGAGGTTGAGAAATGCTGACTTTGTGGTTCAGCCTATTGTGCAAAGTGCTTATGCAGATTTTGTCATCCAGGTCATGGTTGTCCCAAAGATGCTTTTTCAAAAGGCAACTGAATTTTCTTTGCTTTTCCTTGAAGATGTTTCACTTCTCAACCAAGAAGCTTCTGAAGGAGTTTCTTGGATGAGAAGTGAAAAATCTTTAAGGAAAAACAGAAACAGTCCAGTTGCCTTTTGAAAAAACACCTTTGGGACTAGAAAACGGAAGTTAATTCAGCAAGCAGATTAAACATGCCATGTGAATCGACCACCTGCTTTTCCTTTTTCTCTGTCCCTCTCCCCAACAGCCCCCCGCCCCGTTCTTGGCCTTCCTTGCTCACCCCTGTCAGAGGACATTTGTTAGCAATTAGAGGTGGGTGGGAGGGACAGCGCATATTTCGGCAGGGCTCCAAAGCCTCCTCGCCTCGCACTCCTTTCCCGGCCCGCCCACCCTAGATTTGGGGGCAGCGTCTAGGGGGTGAGAGAGGAGAGAGAGAGAGAGAGAGCTTGAGGAGGAGGAGGCAGTTGGCACGTAGAGAAGCCACTCGTCCTGTTGGGGAAATTTGAAGGAAGTTTGTCTGGGCTCCGGCCCAAGGAGCAGAGGGAGAGAAAGAGGGAGCGTGGCGGAAAACATGCTGCCGGTGTGCTAAACGGCGGTCAGGGAAGCAAGGACGGCGCGCAAGGGATGCTCGTGAAGAGACGGCACGCCACCGCCGAGCACTGAAGGGCGGGCACCTCGCGCCGCCTTGCCACCCCCACCTCCAGCCCAGAAAGCAGCAAGTTTGAACGGCGGGTTCCTTGGATTTCGGCGGTGGCGTAGCGTACCAGCCATCCAAGGACCGCAGCCCTTGTTTCGGATGAGAGCCCCCCGGTTGCCTCCTTTCGGCCCCTAGGGCCTACTCCCATGAGGTCGAAGCGTCAGCCTCTAGCTGTTTGTTTTCCCAGGCTCAGCTCGGACCGAGCGGGACTGCCGACGGGAGGAGAATGAAAGGTGAGTTTCGGACTTAGCAGGGCGAGAGGAACAAGGCAGCTGCCCCGTCAAATGGCTCTGCCTCACCCGGGTCCTCTAGCCTAGAAAACACTCCCAGTCGCCCCCTGGGGCTGCTGTAGGTCAGGCAGAGGAGGGAAAATGGGCTGTTGTCTTGGGAACTACTGCGGCTACTTTCCCACCTAACTTTTAACCAGACCGGATTTTAAGTCATGTAGAAACTTTGTAGATGCTTTGGCACAACATATTGAGCATGTTGAAGAATAACTTTGATTAGACTTCTGTGCTTAATATGCACTCAGTTTCGTTTGGTTAGTGATTGCTTTAACATACTGTGTAAATTCAGAAAATGAGTTACTTCTGGATTCAGATTAAACTGTCATGTTAATAGCGAAGACTAAGGAAGCAAGATAGGAACACAATTATCCCAAACAGTGGCCTATTGACAATGGGAGACAACCAGGGATATTTCTTACCACGCTATTCCACCTATTCATCAGATTCAAGATTGGTTATAATGTTAAAACATCAAAACATCCTATTACAAAAGATACATTGAAAAATACAACAGTTGTTCTCCAAGTGAAAGTCTTCATCTTGAATGCTTTATGGAAGAGGAGTGTTTCAGTCAATTTCTTGAAGGATAAAAGGATTGGCGTTAATCTGCCCTCATGGTGCAAGCTGCTCTGCAGTGTTGGGACTGTCACTGAAAAAGTCACTCTCCAGGTCCCAACCTACTTGAGCTTTTGAGGGGTGAATACCTGCAACAGCTTTTCCTGGCTAGAACAGTGTAGGATGAGCATATTCTACCTGGTGAATAACAACAACATCCAGCATCTTGAATTGAGTCCTACTGTCAATTAGTGCAGCAGCCACAAAATAAAATAGCACTGATCTGCAAGAAGGTATTCTGTTTCACTGTAGCTTCCAATTTATCTTCAACGGTAGCCCGCACCTAGAGAAAATTAGGATAATCTGATAGGGGCATGTGTTGTTGTTTTCCTCTTCTAGTCCAGGAAAGGACACAATGATCAAACTAGCTGAAACTCATCAAAAGCTCTTCTGGCAGTATAGCCTGCTCTTCTGCTACTCTAGCAGAACCACCTGACCTTTTAGGGAAGTGTGACCTCATCCAAAGCAATAGATGGGTCATCAGTATATTGATGCTCACCAAACTCCAGAATAATGAATGACCTCTCCCAAAAGTTTCATGGAGGTGCTAATAGTACTAGAGGGTCAAACTCTGAGCTTCCCTATACTGATGTACCTGAAGAAGCTATGTTTCCTTCCCTATCAAAACTAGTTGAAATTACTTCTTATAACAATCAGAAGCACTTGACACGGGTGTCAAACTTGCCACGTCATGTGACATGTCACAACGTATCGCGACTCTTTTTGCATTGCCGGCAATGGGGTGGGTGCAGCTTCAGTATGATGAAACCGGCCTGCAGGCCGGCAGTTTGACACCCCTGCCTTATGAGAATTTGTGTTTGTTTGTAATACATGGTGCCTCGCAATTTTATTTACAATTTTCACATCCTTTGCTATAGGACAGAGAAAATTAATTAATATTAAGCCAGTGGACATATTGCCTAGTGATGCAAGTTGTCAAATATCCAAAAAGCACGGCAGAGGGAGTGGGTGGGGGGGGAAGATTGCCGAGGGATGCAATTGAATGTTCTCCTTAACCTCAACTGAAATGAGTGGGAAATATGTACGATCACATAAAGTAGTAATAGCCCTGCCAGATCTGACCACAATCCTTGTAACCCAGTATTTTTTTTTCCAACATTGGCAACTCATATCTCCCACAAAGAACAGTTTTCATATATCATAGAGGCAACAGCCCTCCCTTGTGGCTGGTACTCGGTCTTTCAAAACAGACGTCTTGTGTGGAGGATCAGTATAGCTACCATCACAATAGGATTATTTCACCATTTCCCCTTTGGCTTGTATAGGATTATACCCCACATGAAAATCTCTTGACCATCTTCAGTGTGTCACCCTGCTGCCTATGCCCCCCACCCTTTCAGGTACTCTAAAGTGCTGTCAGATCCCTTTCTATTGTCATTTAAAGGTACAGGTAAAGGTTTCCCTGTCAGTCGTGTCTTGACTCTAAGGTAGAATGCTCATCTCCATTGCTTGGCTGAGGGAACCAGCGTTGTCTGAAGACAGAAGGCTATAAATGCCCCAATTTTCTTTTCTTTTGATCATTCTCCTTACCATTTCCTATGCCTCTTCTAGTTTCTCTGAATCTTTTTAAAATCTGGTGCACAGGAACAATTGCTATATGGTGAATGCGGAAGAGGAAATCTGAGAAAATGTTTAATAAAAGGGAAACCAAGGGGGGGGGAGAAATTAGTGGCTGGCATGAAGGGGTGTGGGATTACCCAAAGTCCTAACACATCCGCTTGAAGAGGCCAGTTAAAACCATAGCAATTTTTTTGCCTCAGGGCCTCAGGATGTTCCCTCCTCCACCCGTTTTCCTGGTCCCATTTCAGAGATCAAAAGTACAGTTCAGATTTCAAACTTCCACAAAAACTGATTAAAGGGTTCCATTCCCCCTCCAGTTGGCTAAATGATTCATTTAATACCAGTGTTCATAATGGTGCGATTAAAATGAGAAAGCTGATGTTTCCAACTCTTCCTGTTTTGAAAGTCCTGGACTGTTGCAAGTATCACAAGGTTTTTTTTGAACTGGTTGAATTCAGAACATGTACTAAATCTTGTTTTCCTGAAACTATCCCTCACCTAAGACCATTTTTCCCAGCTTGGTCATGCTAGCTGGAAATTATGAGAGGTGATGATCCACACATTTGGAAGGTATCATCATTAAGGGAAGGTTGATAAATCAAATTGTAGCCTCTGGGTGCTAGTTCTTTCAGAAGGCAGTTGCTCTTTTTTCTTTGTCTGTCAGGCACAGGGAACCAGAATGATACCACGAACTTATCAAAGTTACTTCTTTATTGTTGCATGCCTATTTACAAGAATCTTGCCATTAACTGCATTCTCTTAGGAACAGCCAGATAACAGTTTCAGGGTTACTGGTGGAGATAAGATCTGTGTTTCTTCCTGCTCTGCAAGGACTCTAAGCTCATCCCTTCGTCACACTTTCCACCACTCTAGCTGGAGATCCCACCATATTAGTCTTTGCCTCTCATGCAGTCTGGAAAAGAAAACTCCATCCTTATTCCTTTCTCCTCAGCTTTTAATATTTCTCAACGATGGCCTTGATGGCTTGGTTTTTGTTTTATGTACAGAGCTTTTGGCTGGAGAAAGCCTTCCCCACCTCCATCTTTGATTGACAGATTATATTGAACTTGACTTTCTTACCAGAATGGTTTTGCTTTCTAGATATTTGGCTAAATGACCTATGCCAGTAGTGGCAAACCTATGGCACGGGTGCCAGAGGTGGCACTCGGAGCCCTCTCTGTGGGCACACACACCATCTTCCTAGCCCTGCCTCTTCCCATGGCCCCCTCCTCACCAGCAGCCCCCCCGGAGGAGAGTTGCCCCTGGGCATGGCCCACATGAAGCAGCACAGCCAAGGACATGGTAGCGGGGATAAGACTCCATCCTTGCGCCCCGTTGCACGCAGATGATGCTGTGGGGCACAGGCGGAGGGCGCAGCCACCATGATGCTGCTGGGCTGTCTGGATGATCTGTGGCAGGCCGTGGAGGTGCTGGGTGGCCCAGTGGGCAGGGCAGAGCGTGGACGGGGGGCAGTTTTTGGGCTCTCGGTCTCTAAAAGGTTCGCCATCACTGACCTATGCTGGTGGCAATAGTGATCAATATTTGGGGCAGGAAGAATGAGTTTATTATTTATTTATTTATTAAACAATTTTATATGGCTGTCCAATTCATGCATAGTTGATTCCATGCAACTTACAACATTTAAAAATGCACCACATAAAAATCCACCACAATCAAATCAACCACTTGATGGCTCCATCTTCATTTGTGGTCCCCAGGCCTTCTGACAAAACCACATTTTAGGGCCTTTTGGAAAAGCAACAAAATAGATGCCTTAGCAGGAATGAGGATCCAAGAAGAAGGAGCCATCTCTAAAAAGGCCCTTTTTCCTGGTCCCACCAGATGTATATCCCTAATCGATGGGATCCAAAGCATATCCTGCCATCCTATCCTGGTAGGCCAAGATATAATAATGGTTGATTTATTAAGAATCATTTTTTTGAAGAAAAAGTTGGCCCCTTCTTTGTAATCTGGATTGAGGCAGCTCTGAAAATTCTTGCTATAATTTAATTAAGGCTAATAATTAAGAAAAGCAGATTTACATCTTCCCTCAGTCATGGAGTTACTGGATGATTTGGGGCCAATCACACTCTCTGATTCAACCCCACATGTTACAGGGGTTGTGGTGATAAATGTAGAGGAATCTCCCACATATTCTGTTCTCAGTTCTTGCAATAAATAATGAATATAACTGGCATCTGAGCCTCAGTGATAATGAAAGCTTTTGAAGTCTGGGAGAAAGCACATGAAATACTACCGAAGTGCAATGAATAGCAGTTTTGCTTGGGTTGTACACTTTGCAAAACATTGCAGAGTAGACTCTGCATTTAACTCCACTTTCCTTTCATGCCCATGTTGCACGGTCCATCTTTCTGGATGATAATAATATTGCAAGAGACCACTCTGTGTTTAAGGTGAGCAGATGTTTTTAAAGTGCCAAAAGAAAGAGTTGGCTTCTTTAGAAATGGGATGATTGCTAGTTTTAGCCTTCAGGATTGATGAATGGATAGCATAAACTTTTATTTTCATTTTTAAAAAACAGGGCTCAGGTAATCACAGAAATCCTGCTAGCAAGCTGAATTTCCCAGTATGCAAGAAGGGGTCAATTTGATATTTGCTGAGGTGCTAGAGTAGCTGCTTCTTTGAAGTTCTTTGAAGTTGCTACTGTAGCATTTCTCAACCTGTCTCCTAAATTTCCCAATTTAGCTGGGGATTGTTGGCATTCTGGTCCAAGAGACCTGAGCTGGGAT